TTTTGCTGAGACGTTGATTGAAATAATTTTTATAAAAAACGAAGAAATGGACCAAAATTGATTAAACTTAATTTTTGTTAGTCTAAGGGGGAGATTTGAAATTTAAATTTGTATAGCAGAAAAAAAATAATGGGATGGAATAGAAATAAAAGGAATATATCGATGAAATTTACTTTTTCCGTCAAAAATTATGGTAATGATCAATTAATAACATTTATTTCATGAATCTTCATCAATAATTTTCACTCTTTTTCAATAAATTTCTTATTTTTTGTCAAATATTGCTGTCGTATAAAGCTCTGTTTTTTCTATTTTATCCTTGTCAGTGTTAAATATTCTTTTATATTGATAGTTCCTGAATAATTGTAAAAAGAAGGCTTGCAGTGATATTTATGCTACATGAAGACGAAAATAAATCTGAATAACAAACAATGTAAAAGAATAAGTCGTGAAAAAATATTTCTAAAAAAAGGCTTTTATAATAAATACTACACATTTACTTCTACATATTTATCCTTCTATTAATTAATTTCAAACAACTTTTAAAACTTATAAAAGACAGTGTAAAGGGTTTGGTCATTGACGCTTTCTATCACCATTATTCAAGTACTGTTAGAGACATTTCCTCTCACAAATTTACCTATTTGTTCTTTGATGTTTCCAAGCAGCGTTAAATTTTTGCTCATATTATTGTGCTACTTCCAAAGTTATTCTATTTTTCATTAATATTCTTCTACAACGTAAAAAATAACCTTGTCCATTTGTCGCTTTCTCAGTTAATCATCGAAAAGTTAGAAAAAGCTTGTTTTATCAAGTTCTTTAAAATGAAGAAGAAATGTACTTTATGTTATGTTTAAAACAATAATACTTTTACTAAAAAGGAATTTAAAGGTATATTTTGAGATAAAAATTATTTTCCTTAGTAAAAAGCCTACAATTTACTGATGCATTTATTCACTTTATGTTACTAAGAAAGGATAATTTAACTGAAAAATCAATACGGAAAAATTTATAGATAACTATTATCTTTTTAAAGAAGCATGTTGCTGACAATAATAAGATACTGCGTTTTATAATAAGCAAAAAATACTTTACTACGTAGCTAGGCTCATTACTTCCGCAGTTGTATCCAAAAGCACTTTTCTAAAGTCGGCATATTGGCATAATCTATTTTCAGCTTTGAAAGATTTTGCTTACAGAGTATCAGATAATTTATTATATCTTTTTGAAAATATTTTGCAGAAAGGAAAATATAACATTAAGAAAATTTTTTAAATAATTACTTTTCAAGTGATCATTTCACATCCTATCTACAAGTCAAATTATTGCTTGCAAAAAAATGATATGCCTTTGCGTTATATATTAATTACGACATAAATAAAAACGAGTGCTGCAAGGAAAAAGCGAACATAAGAAACTCAAATTTTTTGTCTCTACAAAATTTCATATCATAACAAAAGCAAACGAATGTTTTTTGTTGTTTTTTGCGCAGATAAATAAGTTTATAAGTTTTCTCATAATATGTCTAGATGAAGAAAAAAAATACATGAATCTGTTCACTTTCTTTGAAACATTTTTTATTGAAAAAGAAAAAAAGGAAGAACGATAGTACGTACATGCATAAAATGTTAAATTTTGAGTATCAAAAAATGAAGCAAAGGAAAATAAATTTTCAACAAATGCCATCAGTTCAGTCCCCACTGCAGTGCAGCCAGAAAATTACTTCAAAAATTGAAATTGCAATGCCAAAGGTGCGACAAAAATAACAAATAACAGAAATTACTGATGTGAAAAATTCTTCAAAATTCTCAATTTATAGTTGAAGTTTTCATGAGAAGAAGAGTGATAAATTGCTAATGTTATTGCAAATGCGAAAAATTTTGTAAACACCAAGTAGTTTATTGATTAAGCGGAAGAATTTCAAAACATCTCAAAATATTTCCTACTGAATTTTAAACTACAATTCACGTGAAATCAAAACAATTATTGACTGAATGATGCGTGAACAAAAATAATAATATGTATTGAGTAGTATGATTTTGCAATTTTTTGAGCAATTATTTGAGAAAAAAAATCTGATGCAGACAATTGTGCATACTTATTTATGAAAACAGAAAATGGTAACATGATTACTAGATGATTATAGATCGTGTTAACTCAGTTTACTATCCATCAGCATTGTTTTCTTCTACTTCTCTAGCCAGTATTTTTATTTAAAAACTTTTCAGTACAGCATATACGATGGCGAGACGAGAATTATACTTTTAGAATTTTGTATGAAATATCAGCGAATACAAATGAACGAGTTTTTTCTACCTTACAACTTGTCAATAACTACCTATTTAAGATATAATTTTACACTTTTTCCATCGCAAATCAATTTTTGTTTTGAACAATTCACTTGTAATAATTTCATAAAATATATTTAAACCACACTGGAAATCATTATTGTGATATAAGAGAATGATAACTATACTGGGTACTGCTGAAGAGTTCAATATTTGCACTGTTTTATCTTTATTCCATATCGATAGCTAATTAATAAATTAATTACTCGATTTCCATTTTTCGTGACTGATATGTAATGCTAAAAAGTTGAAATGAATCAAGTACGTAAAACTTCTGCAAGAGAGATAGACTAATAAACAGCTGAAAAGTTGCCAAGGAAAATTGCAGTGGGCAACTAAGAGTGAGAATTAAAATGCTTTGCTGGCCTGCATCTCTGGCATCGCTTTCTTCGTAATTGAAAATAAAACAAGTACGCCTATTTAGTAGATCATAGCAGCATATCAGTACTGCTGTGGTAATAGAATACCGTGTACAATTCATTTCTGAAACT